ATTCAGTTTGGAGTTCAGGAGATTGTCTTGACCAGGACCACACCCCTAAATGCATTGAAGCAACTGCCATGTGATTGGTTGATTAGTTAATTGCATTAATGAGAAATTGAACAGGTGTTCCTAATAATCCTTTAGGTGAGTGTAGTTCATTCCAAGTACAAAATTTGGAAACCAGTGTGAGCGCCGGCAGAGGAGCGTGGAGTGTGTACGTGTGTCACAGAGTTTGCTGTGATTATTATCATTAGCTGCTCTCATGTCGATGTCGAATCTTGCTGACCATACAGACGACTTTCCACCAGAACCTTCGGTATTCTCTCCAGGCTTCCCAGTGGCATTGTTGTGACAATGGAGTCCATTCACCTTGTTGCTGGTCATCCAATCTAATAATAATACCTTCAAGTTTTCCCAGCCACAAGGTCTTTGCCAGGACATCAATGAAATACACTTTTGCTAAATGAATAATACATACACACACATATGCATATGCATATATATACACATATATATATATATATATATATACATATATATACATAATATTGAATACTGATTTTGAGATATTGAAATTATTATAGTTATGTAGTAATAAAAACAAAGAACCAGCATTAGGGGATTTTTGAATTTTTGGATCTAACGCTTATGACAGTTTTAGGAATTCTTGGCAGTTCTGCCTCGCGGATTGTCTGCCTCAGCTTATATGATCACTGGACAACACTGTGCATCAACAGACCTCTGGGGTCACCACTTCATCCACTGGAGTGATATTTGGCATTTTCACTCCTGCCGTTTCGTGTGATGATAACCGTGAGAAGGGCCTCGTCAATCTTTCGCAACCAGGCTGACTTCTGCAGAAATTGAGATATCTTCCTTATCGCCTCTTGTTTCAGTTGCAAAAGACATATGCCGGCCCATTAACTCTCTTTTTTATTGAGGGTTATGTCAACATACTTAGACAAAACACATCTTGAATAAATGCCAGGTCGATCACGGTCAACTATATCCTTAGCATGCCAGTCTTTCAGCCTCTGAGTAAGGTGCCCTTCAGCACCTTGGCAGGTCACAGACTTTGTTTCCTGCATTCAAGATGAATTCACTCAGTTAGTGAAGAACTAGCTTCAGTGCAGAGATTCTGATATAAGTCTCTTCGACCAGGATATAAACACCCCAAAGGTCCTCGGCACCTTCCCCAGCGTTTTCCAACGGGGACGTTCCTGTCCCCATAAGTCCCAGGTGTCTCCTTCCATCTACCACAAAGCAGAGGAGATACTTGAAATGATTGCGGACACATTTTAACTTCCTGGTATATGTGGGTGAATGTATTTGTACAATATAATCACTATAACAGTGGTTCCTAACATGTAATTAAGTTCAACATACTGACAAAAAGATGACTGACATTATATGCAATTAAATTTAAATGTATCAGAACACCATGTCACAGGTAGAGCACCACCTAGTGACCAACTTCATGAATCAGTTCAGCTCAGCAAAAAATATGCTTCCTCCTCAACCTGCAGCAGTGCAAAGGAATAGCCAATTCCGAATTTCTTTGTCAATATTTAGATGGAGCCCAGAGATGCAGGTCCAAAGTGGTACATAGGAGATAAAGGCCGTTTTCATATTCGAGTCATGTTAATGGTGACACCAATGACCTCATACAAGCTGAGTGCCCATTCATTACATAGATACTCAATGCACTGTTTGACCATTTCACCTGTGTTCCGCATGCATGGCAAACTGATCTGGCCGCATCAGAATTAACGCCCCAATGTCTGTGCCCCTTTTGGCACTTCATCATTGATATTTCTATTTAAAGCGGACATGAAACACTAGATGTAGTTAGCATAACTTGCAAGATGGATCCCCACTCTAAAAATCCTTACTGGACACTGTCGGAGAAACTGGATTAAAAAATAAGTAATCCAAGTTACTCCACTCCGCATTTCAAACGCGGTACTCTCTGAGGTACGCAGACCGGGGAGTGGCCAGATCTCTGTAGGTGGGTATACCTACTTTTGGTCTGGTTGATCTGATGGCTGCCATACTCAGGGAGTAGCTGTTGCTGAAGCGGATCGGCTTCTCTCCATGGTGTCTGATGTCACTCCTTTCATTGAGCATATTATGAGACTCAGGCTAAGGCACTCCTTGGGTGTCTCAGTGTATGCTCCGACCGCGGTGAGTGATGTCTCGTTGAGGGAGACATTTGACTCGTAACTTCGCTTGGTGGTTGATGGGAGCCCATGAGGTGACACTCCTCTGGTCATGGGTGACTTCAATGTGACCACTGGCACTGACAGGGCTGGCTATGAGGATTGTGTTGGTGCCCATGGGTCTGGAGACCGCGGTGAAAGCGGCTCCATATTCCTTGACTTTGCAAAAGGTTAGGGGCTGTGGGTCGCTGGATCCTGGTTCCAACGCCCTGAGCCGCATCGTTGGACTTGGTACTCCAATACTGGTGGTGCGGTGAAGGAGATCACCTACCTTTACGACATGTGTGAAGATCTGATAGTGTTTTAAGGCATATTTATGCAGGATTATGCAAAATTCTGAAGGGTTCACTATCTTTCAAGCTCCGCTGTGTACAATGGCCCTTTCTGCATTTGAATGGCCACCCCTGCTCTGCATCAAATAGGTAATATTCCAGGAGATTCCACTAAAGGATGCCAATTTCTGATCATTGTTCACTATCAGATGTGAGCTGTGGCATTAAATCTAAAAGCAGAATGAACAGACTGACTGCCTGCAAGAGACAAAAACAGATTGCGCAACAGTACGAAACCTTTACACAGTCGATGACAATATGGCTCTCAGACACTGAGTGTCACCACTGATAGTAACACTCAATAATGCCCCCTCCCCCTGGAGCTAAGGCGGTATCATTTCCTCCCTGTAGTACCCCAAAAAGACAGCCAGTAGCAGCCCCTCCCACAACACCCTACACCACTCACTAATTGGAAATACTTCTCGCCCCAACACCAACCACTGGGAGGTCCTACACACTGATTGCGACAGCTAGACAGGCACAGTGGTGTGTGTACACTGTCCCAGAAGGTCTGATCCTGACCTCGGAAAGCCCTGAAGCCCGGAGCTCCCCCAGATCTCGCTCCCCATCTTTCGCAGATCGAGCTCTCCACCCTCAGCGGCTCACCTGGATGTTGACCCTCTCGATGACGCAGGAGATGACGTGCAGGACCTGCATCTTGGTGTCGCACTCCGTCACTTGCTGCAGCAGCTGGAAGAGCAGCCCGAAGATGGATTCCAGGTACTGCGGACAGAGAGGGAGAGAGAGAAACAGCTGGAGCAGTACGAAGAAATGGCGTGAGGGATCAGCGGCGAGGGGCGAGGAGCACGGTGATGGTATACCTCCATTACATTACAATGACATCCAATCCAAAAACGGGGAAAAAGAAGACTGCACTTTTACGATGAAGATGGACAGGAAATTTAATTAGAGAAAAGTGCAGGTCATCAGTGATTTCAGTCACTGACATTTTGAGCAATGATTGTACATTGAAACATTCAGTTTTCAGTTATATATTCATTGAATGCCACCTGCTTAACTCCTTCATATTTCAATGTGCAGCATATGGCGCGGAAAGGGAAGCATGAAGACACAAACCCACCGGCAGGAACTGCTCGGTCCTGAACTCGAAGTCGTCGACGGGTGATGTAGCGTTAAGGTATGTCACCGGGTTACTTGGAGGTGTGGCCGAACCAGTCTGCAATATTTTCTCCAAGGTGACTTTTCCGATTTATATTGTTCAAACGAACAAAGCGGTAAAATCGGAATTAAACCCCGCCCCCAGAATGGGAACTCTAGACCTTTGGAAATGACCCTTGGCTGCAGCATGAAGTTAGAGCAATAAATTACTTTCATTAAGTACATTCGCATTCGTGTAGCGAAGGGCATTTAGGTTTGACAATCAGCAACCTGAGTCTTTTTTTCCCCACCTCATCACAATGTAACTAACTCAAGGCAAGGAAATTAGGAAGTAACAACTCTGTGAGTGTTCAAGGTTATATTTCATACAAGCATGAAAAGGATATTGAGCTTCAGTGTTGTGGCCGTCTCGATTCGGACCTGAAAGAGAAGACGGCAGACTTGAGCACAGAATGCATTTTTTTTTCCCCTTAGATCCACAGAAAAATAATTTCCTGTCTTATATGCTGTTCATTTCGCCTTGCTGTACAAAAGGATAGATGACGTAACTACGAAGCCAAAGGCTGCTGGGAATGGTACTGTGGGAAGCGCTGCTTGCCCATCTCTCTCTTTCTGCAAGGGTTCTAGGTTGATCGAGGCCTTGCCGGTGCCCACTCGATTAGGCGGCGCTCCACGGGCAGCTCGGCCAACCCCATCAGAGGAGCGTGGCGGCAGATGGCTAATGGGTTTTCATGCTGGCATCCCACCCCCTTTAATGCTGCTAATAGGTAGCCAGGCCCCCCATCCCATCCCCATGATATTGCTGTCAGTAAGCCATGTGGCAGGTGCTCCCCAGACGTCTGCCCGGAGAACACGGCAGAGCTTTGAAGTCTCTCGTTTAATCTCCGACCTTCTCATTATCAGGCAGCAAAAAGGGGACACGATTTCAGCTGGCGAAAAAATAAAAAAACCTCCAATGCAAAACTTCAGCCATACATAAGGGCCACAAGAGAGAACTCCTCTTCAGCCTCGGTACACGTTCCGCGTATCAGTCTCGGAAAGGAACATGCTAATACAGCACCAGCTAAAGCATCCATCAACATCATCAGTGAAAAAATTCAGATTATGCTGCATGCCGTTAAATTTTCTCTTAAAATTCAGTTCAGCATTGTCACTTTTGAAGGTCTGCAGGCAGCATCGTCCTGACACTACAGTAAAGAAGGCCTTTGGCCAGAGAAGATGCATTCGTGATAAACAGCGAACCCAGGAAATTAGTGAGCCCTGCTACACTGGGGAATGTAACAAATGTCTCATTTAAGCTCCTCCATGCCCTTTCTGCCTCACTTCTGCTGATTAATGGACCACGCATTTACAGTTTCCTCCACCTCCACCCTCAGTCCGCCCACTCAAACCATCAACCTCCATCCACGCTCCAGCTACACATAGTTTCCCAGGGCATCTCTCTCCAATACAGGTAACAACGCCTGACTTTACTCATGAATACAGATTTCATCCGCATAGCTCGGGGGGCGGGAATGATCTGCCACCGGCGCAGATACACATTTAGCAGTTTGGTGGGGGGGGGGCTTGGAGACAACCATATCTCGCCTACATTCCACAAAGCATTCTGGGATATACTGGACTACAGAGAAAAAGTTCCTCTGGGTGCTCCTGTGATTAGTGTCACATAAGGGAACTGACATGTACTTCTTGTATCTGCATGCCTGGTTAGGTTTCTAAACTTCTATATTTGCTGCTTCAGTACACAATGTCCACAGGTTTATTAAAGGTACTATAAAAAGATAAAAGTTAAATGAAAAGAAAAATAGTTGAAATGAATCTAACTAAGTACCTTCTGACCGTGAACTGTGATGTCCAAGGTGGACTGTAACTGCCTGAAGGTGTTCTGTGCCTTCCGATAAGCCTTTCCTGCACCTGGTAAGGTTCTATCATGTCCCTTTAAGGATTATCTTTAAAAAGGAGGGGCCAAACTGGGGGGGGGGGTGAAAGGCATTGTAAGGAAAATGTGAAGAAGAGTTTGTTACAAGAGAGCCTTAATTTGACACATCAGTGCATTTTTCCTGCGTCATGCAGTTCGTGCAGCTCACTGATTGCCCTGTTACTGCCGTTTGTCTCTCCCACAGTTGGTATCGTCATTGGACTCGCAACCCACAATCAACCATCGACCATCTGCCCTGACCATCCGCCCCCTCATCATTAAAGGGTTGCAAGTGCACTCCAACGTCACGCTCTGTGGAAGACCCTCCGAAAAGCAATATTCATACAAACTTTACAGAAGGTTGCATGCTTCTGATTTTGTACCTCGTTGTCTAACGCAGTGTACTATATTGTATTTTTTTTTAAATTCCCATTTGCATCACCATTTCACATTAAGGTTGTCATTGTTGGGATTAGGGTTTTGCCCCTAGAAATGAATGGACGGTCCCCACAAAGATATGAGTACAGGTCTGTCAGTGTGTGTGTGTGTGTGTGTGTATGGATAGACACACACATATATATCAGATGACCATATTTGCACTTTCATAGCCCACGCTTGGTACTGAGTGCTTGCCAGGTAGTGAGAACGCTGGAATAACTAAAATTAGTCACCAATACAAAGCTTGTGTGTGTGAGAGCACATGAAGATTGCTGTATGAACATGTGGGTTCCGTACTTGACCAAGGTTCAACATGTACCGTCATATCTGCTATAACACAACAGATGTGTTCCCATATCATCACTCATTATGCAAAACAGCATGATAAAAATAAGGATTATAGAAAAAAATAGGGGTGAAGCACAGCACAAAACCTCACTAAATCATTAACCAAGACATTCATCATGCTCAGAATCCTTTGATCTGGCTTTTGAGTGTTTAACTATTACTTTTACTTCTAACACATGAAATTTCACCAATACACTGTCTTATTACCTTGTTCACTTGTATTTCCAGCAATTTTTTAAAAATAGCACTTCCGAAATGAGGCACGCGGTCTGAGCATCAGGTGTATTCATCCATGAACCGGTAACAAAACGAAATGATGTCAGGGATGACACCGGGCAACCAATAAACCAGCAGGAGACTGGCTTTGTACACACATCTCTCCCCATTTCCCAGTTACAAATGAGCTGATTTCCATTTTAGAAACTCCCGTTGCCCAGCTGTTACTCAGTAACGCAAAACATAATTGCATTACGAGAAACTGCATATTAGCCAACGTGATTCTGCGTTTTAGCGATGATAATCTTCTACTTACCTACAGCCAAAGAGAAAATTCACATCTGATAAACACGCATTACAGCAGAATAGACTGTGTTTGGTTTTGTTTTAAAGCCTGTAGTAGTAGCGCAGAGACAGATGCAAATTCTGTTCAGCTTTCCAGGTAGCCTGGCATGCTAATCACGACGTACAGCAGGCCATCATTGCTGTATCGTCTGACAAAGAGGTTTAGTGTCGGGCAAAGATGACTCTTGAAAACCACTTAAAAGTAAGTAATATGTTTGGTAACACGGTGGAAGTGCAGTCACAAGATGTTATTGCATGTCCGCAGAAGACAAGCTGGGGGAGTGCAGAATAGCTCAGCTCAAATTTAAATCCATCATTTCCAAACGCAAGATTTGGATTAAATATATGGTTTTTACACAGTGCATTTCACAAGATTAGCTACTGCAAGCCCTACAATAACTTCAAGGTGAATCATAAGAAAAATACCGGGTATGGCATTCAAAAAAGCTAATTTTACATGGTTTAAAACTTGAAAAATATCCCAGATAAACCCAAGATGAGCAGAAAACCCATATCTTGACAACCGTAAAGTTGTCAGCACAATGTACCTAATTCTCACTAGAGGTAACGGGCAAACAGCATCTGCTGCTTGGAGCTCACTCATCTTTTGGATGAAGACTTCAGAAGGTCAAACAGGGGGTCGACAATTCCTCAGATAACATTCAGAAGTCATGCTCAGTGCCTCGCTATTTTCACAGACTGAGCACAGAGGCAGTGACTTTCCAAGGGTCACGGACGATTATGCACAGACCCAGGGAGGCTGCACTCCCAGCAGAGTCTGTCATGTTCACTTGGAGTCTGGGGTTTCAGAGAACTCACTCAGCATGCACCCCCAACCCCCCCCCACCCCCCCCTTGGGGTTTGTGCAGGCCTACATCCGAACACCGCGGTCGCGTGCTCCTCCTCCCCACTAAAATGGCAGGTTTCTGCAGTACCAGCTTCCCCAAAATTTACAGAGACAGATTATCTCTCCCGAAATCCATGGGTAAAACAGCCAAACTCCAGGCAGACCAGCCGTGCAACAGTGGGAGGTCAATATCCTGGGTCATTCATCCATTAAAGTACCACAGGACAGGATTTAGTGGTTCAACACATATAATGTGATGAATCAGGGGAGGTGAACACACCGTAAAGTTCCCATTGACATACGCGGAGCAAATTAAACTTCACCTTCACTGCAGAATTACGGGCTCAGTACACGGAACTGGAATGAACTTTCATGAAAACGGGCCATTACTGTGGAAGAGACAAGCCAACCCTTCGATGAGGCTCAGAAGCCGTAACGACATCCTTCACGCTGTTCAGTGGTGCTGCAACAAACACAAACACACGAGCGGAGAAACACAGAGACGCCGCTGCTTGGTGTCCTTCTGGCTATCATTCAAAACGTATAATATGGTTAGAAATTTTTTATCTTTAATATGCATGTACTTCAGCATAATCGCAACTTCTGCTGATGTATTTAACTAATTTAAAAGCATCACAAACTGCATTTCTTTGAAATGGCGCAATATACTTTCATTCCCCTCTATGTTCTATGATTAACTGTTATTTGTGTCGACTCATATCACGCAAACGTTTTGTGATATTGACATCTTGACCCCAGCAATTCTGGGGCCCCCTGACAAAATGTCACCCACATTATATATTATATCATCACATATTCAAGAGCCCCTGTAAAGTGCGCCCAAAATCTGCTAGGCTACCCCTGCTCCACTGCAGCTCTCCTGCAGCTCCCCAGCTGCTCATTGTCGCAGTAGGAAAACAGAAATGGTTTTCCACAAGCGCAGCTGGAAGCGGGATGTGAAACGAGATGTAAAGGGGCCCCTGTTTTGCCAGTTTTCGGAGGAAGAGAACGTGACCGACCGAGAACGTGACCGACCGAGAACGTGACCGACCGAGAACGTGACCGACCGAGAACGTGACCGACCGAGAGCGTCCAGGGCAGTTGGAGTCGGTGGTCAGACAGACACATGGGCAGGCGGGAGGACGACTGCGTCTGCTGTGGGGCTTGACTTTCAGCCAATAGTGGGTCACGGATTTAGTCTGAGAATCATCAGCAGAATCACAATCTGCACCGAACTGTAATCAAGCCTCAATTGGGGGGGGTGCTTCATCAGAGGTGCAGAGAGTGGAGTACTAGCCTCTCGATGGC